TAAAACTAAATTTTATAAAGCGATATATTTTTTTTTGGAAAAATAATTTTTTTTTAAATAGCTAATGTCAATACTGAAAGAAAAATAATAAATATATATTTACAAATTGTATAAAATTAAATACATTGAGTATAATTTTGTTGATTGGAAATATTTTGTATGTAAAGGCGTTTGGCTATTAACTCCCAAGAATACAGGTGAATGTTCATAAGTGACGAGTGGTTAAAGGTAAATCTGTAGGTAGCTATCGCAAATAGGGTTGAAGGATTGAATTAAAGGTTGAAAAGAAGAGCGAGATTCAGGGCTTCAACAGTTACTGAACCTAGGCTGCACGTGGTGTAACACACGTAGCTGGAACAGTCACGTGTGTCTATACCATAGTGTCGGAAGCGATAGGTTGCTTTAACAGTAACCTAACGTCTCTGACCCCTGGACGCTTTAACAGTGTACACGGAAGGGCGTGTTGTCTACGACCTGTAATACATCACACGTAGCTTTAACAGTCAGGTGTGCTTGTATTATATCGTGTTTGCTTTCAATTCAGTCCTTCAGAATTCAGAGTTGCAACAAAACAAATTTCTTGTGAGGACCTTGGACAAGGCTGAGCTATCCCAGCTCTAAACGAACCGCCAGAAAAGGTTCTTTACAAGTGGCGCCCGAGCAGGGACCCTGTTACCAACACTTCACGATTTAAATAACAACTGTTCTGACGTCAATAACAAGGTAACATATATACATAACTAGCATGGGAAGAACGTGGATCCGGTATTTACGAAAAGACGATTTGGTTGGATATCTCGAAGAGTTCGGCCTGGATACAACTGATACAGCCGAAGACTTGCGAAAGCGATTAACCAACTTCGTAGCACAGGGAGAACATGCACCTATAGTAGTTATTCGGTTAAGCGAATTTAAAGCAAACATTGCAAGAGCTCCAGTGAAGAACTAAACATGGATAAAAATACTGAAGAAACCAAGACAGCAGTTTTAGCATCACCAAGTCAAGATCCTGCATATACTTTACACGTGCCTGATAGTCAACAGCCTGCGGCAGTACACCAAACGTTCGATAGGAGAAGCGACAGAGAATACAGTGAAACATCAGAGCGACATATCATGGTCAATGAAGCATCGACAAGGCAATTACATTCACATCTACAGTATGACTTACACTCGTATCTTCCACAGAGGAACACACAGGCAAGCGTCACTGACCAGGTCAGAAAATGAGCGATCCGGTACGATGACAACGGCGACCCCTTGGTGTTCATAGAGTGAGTGGAGGAATTAGCGGACGTTTATGCAATACCAATGAACATGTTGCCCCGTACAATGCCGGAATTACTCAAAGGAAACGCACTGGTATGGTTTAGACACAACAAAAGAGATTGGATTCACTGGGAAGCATTTAAAATGGATTTCCTCAAGTTTTTCCTACCACATCTTTATTTCTAGCGGTTGGGGGATGAACTAAGAAATAGATTACAGAAACCAGGAGAGCCGTTTAAGAAGTATGTGTTGGAGTTACAAAAATTAATGAGACATTTAAAACTAAGTGAAGACGAGAAACTCGAGCGATTCTACAGAAACAGTTTGGTTGAGTATAAAATGTATGTCAAACGTAGAGAGTTTAACACTTTGGGCGAGCTAATCTCGTTAACTAGCGATTTTGAATCCTTAAAAAACGAACAAAGAAATTCTAAACCGAAAGATACACCGATGCTGATGGAACGACGAGTCAAACCATTGACAATTGCTGCCATGGAGCCTATTAATCTAACAACGGCATGCTTTCGATGTGGTCAGTCTGGACAACTAGCGCGCATGTGTCGAAATCCTAGATTTTTATTCTGCTGGCAGTGTGGGAGACGTGAGGTTCGAACTATTGACTGCTGTCGCAAACAATCGGGAAACGCGCAAAGGTAGCGTCTTCCAGAAAGGCGAGACGTGGTCGTAAATCCAGCACCAGCACAACACTCTTTGTAATTGAACATAATCGACTCTTTGCACAAATAAGCATCCAAGGTCGAGCACTCACAGCCATGATTGACACAGGTGCAAGTAAAAGCTTTGTTCGTCCGAACGTAGTATCATGTCTTACAGGTAACATCACCGACGTAAACGTAGTAGTCCGGCTCGCTGATGGCTCACCACGGCATGTGAATAGCATCATTGATACGTGCTTGCAAATGGGAGGAGATGAATACCAGGTGAGTTTGTTAGTATTGGATGGAATGGTTCATGGTATTGTTTTGGGGATGGACTTTTTGAATACAGCATCAAGTACGTTTTGTATAGGGGAAAATGTTGTCAAATTTGGTCAATTCTCAAAGACCAATTTGAGTCCAGTCTCGTTAAATTCCACTTTTGATGAGGAGCAATGTATAAAGAAGTTCTTAGAAACAGAGTTAGTTGAATTTGAAACGATGGAAGGACTTTCTAACATTACATCGCATTCAATCACAATGAAGGACGATCGACCCATCAAACAGAGGTACTATCCGAGAAACCCGGCGATGCAAAAAGTGTTGGATAATGAAATAGACGAACTACTCAAACAAGGTTGTATTGAACGGTCACATAGCCCATATAGCTCTCCAGTCGTATTAGTAAAAAAAAAGGACGGAAGTTGGCGACTGTGCATTGATTACTGACAGGTCAATGCTCGTTTAATTCCGGATGCCTATCCTATCCCACGTATTCAGCATATATTGGACCAACTCCGCGATGCAAAGTATATTAGCAGTCTGGACTTAAAAAAGGAGTACTGGGTTCCTATGGCACAAGACAGCAAACAGTACACGGCGTTCACGGTTCCAGGACGAGGGTTGTTTCAATGGCGGGTGATGCCTTTTGGATTACATTTGGCCCCTGCAACATTTCAGAGAGCCCTTGATAGTGTCATTGGCCCCGACATGGAACCCCATGCGTTTGCTTATTTGGATGACATAATAGTGATTGGACACACATTGGAGGAGCACACGGCAAATTTGAAAGAAGTTTTTCGACGATTGAAGGCAGCGAAGTTGAAACTGAATGTTAAAAAATGTCAATTTTTCATAAAAGAAATCAAGTACTTAGGACACTTAGTAACACCTCAGGGCATTCACACCGATCCGGAAAAAATAACTGCAATCAAAGACCTTCCACCCCCGTGTAATCTTAAAGAGTTACGAAGGTGCATTGGTGTCGCTTCGTGGTATCGCCGGTTTGTACCGCAGTTCTCCAGTACTATTCAACCACTAACGTTGTTGCTGAAAAAGGGTAAGCGTTGGCATTGGACGGAAGTACAACAAGCGGCATTTGATAAACTAAAAGAGAAACTAACGAGTGCTCCCGTCTTAGCATGTCTGAATTTCAACGAACAGTTTATATTACAAACCGATGTCAGTGACTTTGGGCTAGGAGCGATATTAACGCAGACAATATCAGGAGAGGAAATGGTTATCGCATATGCAAGTCGTACTCTAAATCCAGCAGAGAAGAACTATACAACCACTGAGAAAGAATGTCTGGCAATAGTCTGGGGCGTACGTAAGATGAAGCGGTATTTAGAGGGATACTACTTTGTAGTTATCACTGATCACTTGGCATTGAAATGGCTAAATAGCATCGATAATCCTTCTGGTAGAATTGCAAGATGAGCCTTAGAACTGCAGCAGTATCATTACGAAGTACAATACCGGAAGGGGAAATATAACGTAATTGCTGATGCACTGTCTCGACAACCGCAACCCACACTTGCTCAGGTAGACGCGAGTAATAAAAATGATCGATACTGTGGATGGCTGTTAAGTCTGAAGAAAGCGGTGCGAGAAAATCCTGCGAAATACCCTGATTACATCATTGAAGGTGAGCAGTTATATCGTCGGATCCCAAACAATTTTAGTAACGAAGGCCAACCGTGCTTGCGCCATCGAGTTCTGAAGGAATGCCATACTAATGTCACAGCGGGGCACCTAGGTAATCAGAAAACAATTGTTCGTGTTGCGGCAAACTATTATTGGCCTGGGATGTATCGCGATATAAGAGATTACGTAAAAAAATGCGATACCTGCCAAAAGTACAAAGTTTCACAACAAATGAGTGCTGGGAAGATGTGAACTGCTATTCCAGAAGAACCATGGGCGACAGTGTGTTCGGATTTCATCGGTCCTATGCCACGATCTGTTAAGGGCAAAGTGGGTAGAAATCATTCCAATGAGGAATGCTACAGCGTTAGGAGTAAGACGTGCTTTTCGTGAACATATCATGTCACGATTCGGAGTACCTAAAATTCTCGTCACTGACAATGGAACACAGTTTACTAGCAAAGTATTTAAGCAATTTCTGGAGGAACTGGGAGTTCAGCACCAACAGACAGCACCTTACTCACCGCAAGGCAATCCCACTGAACGTGCCAATCGAACGATAAAAACAATGATCGCTCAGAATTCGAAGTTGGACCACCGACACTGGGATGAATATATACCGGAAATTACACTGGCCATAAATTCCTCCATTTCAGCCTCAACCGGTTATATACCTGCGTTTGTTACACAAGGACGAGAGCTGCGTTTGCCGAATACACTATATGACTCTGTTACGACTGGTACAGGCGGGGCAATGGAATCACCAGAGGAAAAGGCGCTTAAACTACTAGATGTATATGTCATAGTGAAAGGAAACATGGGAAAGGCGGCCCAAGATCAGGCGCGTTACTACAATTTACGTCGTCGGGATTGGCAACCAAAGTGTGGTTCTTTAGTATTAAATAAAACACAACCATTGTCCAATGCCCAAGAAGTCTTCAACGCTAAACTAGCACCAAAGTTCTCGGGGCCATATGAAGTCATAGATTTCCTGTCACCGGTCATTGTAAAATTGCGTAACCTAGACACTGATAATATGTTGACGGCCCATATCAGTCGTATTAAACCTTACTACAATTAATGGTTAGAAAGAAAAAGGTAATCTCATACTAATAAAATTTTACTTTAATAGGTTTTAAAAGACGAATCAGCATGGCAAGAACTATTGGGCGCGAAAACATTGTCTTTGACAACTCTGGAAGTAACCTCAGAGGTATGAATATCCACCAGTCAAGGAAAGTTATGGCAGAACTAGATGAAACATTAAGACGGCGACTATGTGTACGTTTTGTAGAGTTGTTCGGCGAAGATACCGATACCGAAGAAATGGCGAAATGCCTGAACAGAGCTGAACCAGAAAAGACAACAAGTCCCTTGCATTACACCGCAGTTGGCTGGGATACTGAAGATGTTCTGGAGTTAACAGCCTCTCCATTATGGTCGGGCGACGAACTAGTTGTGCCGCAACCCAAGCGAAGTTGGGAATGTCCTCCTACGCCACCCCTGGCAAAAATATTACTTAGTTCAACACCAGAGGTATGTGACCCACCAGTTAAGACAAGTAAAGAAAGCATGGTAGAAAGTCGAGTGGACGTAGACCCAGCGGCACGCCTGCAGCGACATGGATACAATTTTTATTTATTTTATTTTTTATTTTATTTTAAATGCTTTAAGGGTCAAAAAACCCTTACATTGCATCATCTTATAACTAACTTAAAAACTAACAAAAAAAGAGATAAAAAAGAGATATTATTTACTTAATATATAACAATTTACAAATTATTAGATGATAAAGCAAAGGCAAGAGATTGAATTAAAAAAAAAATATTAAATTAAAAATTAAATTAAATTAAAGAATACAAAAAAAAATTTTTTAAATTTAAGATTAAAAATTTAAAAATTTAGAATAGAAAAATAAACATTACAAGCAGAAAGTTAAAAAATGACAATTAAAGAAAATTATCAATTAACAAATAGAAATAACTGACAGAACGGGTGGTGTCAATATAATTCATTAACTAGCAGTTTTTTAAAAGCTCCTACTCTTGTTGTGTTTCTGGTTTCACATGAGAGCGAATTCCATACTCTGACAGAGTGGATAAAGAAAAAACTTGTTGTGGAAATAAAGTTAAACCTTGGAATAATAAATAGAAGAGATCTATTAGATCGTGTTCGTTTCAGACAATTGAAAAGGTATTCAGGTGATTTAGCATTAACCAATTTAAACAAAAACAGACAGACACGAATCTTAATAAACTGTTCAATGTCACAACCTAAGATTGCATTCCTGTAATTACCCAGGTGATCAAATCTTCTGAGACCGTAAACATATCGTGTCATGGAATTGGTTAGACTTCTTAACTTAGTAAGAGACACCGCGTCTAATTTGGAATAAACTAACGAGGAAAACATAATAATAGGAATTATTAACTGTTTTACCAACAAGCAGCGAGTAGCAACAGGGGTAAATCTCGCTGATAGATTAAGACATCTGAGGCAAGTGTATACTTTCCTAACAACTTGATTGATGTGGTCACAAGCATGTAAGTTAGTATTTAGATGGAAACCTAAACACTTTACAGAAGTATTGTATTCAATAAAGGATTGCCCAATAGACGCTTGAGGCAAACTATTTACATCCAGTTTTAACCTAGTTATTGGCAAAATAGTTGTTTTTTTGGCATTAAGTAGCATGTTATTTTCAACGGCCCAAGTGTTAATATTATTTAAATCAACATTTATCTTTTGAATTAGATTACCAATAGTGGTGAAATCACAAGAAATGTACATTTGGATGTCATCAGCATACCCATGCAATTTAGTATACTTACAAATTGAAAAGACATCATTTATATACATTGAAAATAAAAGGGGACCCAGGATTGACCCTTGAGGAACTCCAGTGTGAAGATTTTTAAAAGTCGAGAACTCATTCGATACCACAACAGACTGCGACCTTCCACTTAAATAGCTAAAGATAAATTTTGCCGCCGACTTAGAAAATAAGAAGGAGTTGACAAGTTTTTTGCAAAGCAAAGAATGATCAACGCGGTCAAAAGCCTTGGAGAAATCAAGTAGACATAGATATGTAATCAAGTTTTGATCATAGCCGATTCGAACATCCTCAAGTACTTTCAACATAGCAGTCGTGCAGCTATGACCTTTTCTAAACCCAGATTGCAAAGGGGAAAGAAGCTGAAAACGATCTAGGTGACAACGAATAGCGTTAGCCATGATATTTTCACACACCTTCGAGAGCGAGGAAGGAATGCTAATTGGGCGAAAGTCAGAGCATAGGGATGCATTTGACTTTTTTTCAATTGGAATAATTTTTGCAAGCTTCCATGTATTAGGAAATGTTGAAGAAGCAAAACAGTGATTTATTATATGTGTCAGAGGAGAAATAATTGACTGAAGAGTGAGTTTTAAGAACTTCAAAGGAATTTTATCAATACCAATTGCATTTGATTTAATTTTCATTACACTATTGAAAACTACTTCTTCACTAACACACTCGAAACTAAATATACTCTCAGAGCCGGCATGTTCAAGACAAGGGAAAGCAGGATTGACGCTCAATCTACTACCTACAGACGAAACAAAATAATCATTTAGGTTATTGGGATCTAAGGAGCACACAGCTGTGGATTTTTTTATAATTCCTAAAGATTTAATATTATTCCAGAGAGATTTTGTTTGCTGACGACCTCCAAGTTTGGATTTAAAGAACATTAATTTGGCTTTATAAATAGCCGCAGAAGCTAAATTCCTAGCCACTTTAAATCGCATCCAATTGAGTGCCGTGGGATATTTCTTCCAAACAGCATATTTTTTATTTCTATAGTTAATTTTTCGTTTAATATAAGGCTTAAACCAAGGACAAGACGAATTTTTTGCACATACTGTACGATACGGCACAAAACGATGTAAAAAATCTGACAATATGTTATTAAAGACTCCCAATTTTTCATCTACTGATGCACTAAACCAACAACCACTCCAGTCAACAGAATTCAGTTCACTGAACAATCTCCGAGTATCAATAGACTTGAAGTCCCAAAAAGAGAATTGTGTAGGAGTAAATGTTTTAGTCGCATTATAATCAAAAGTCACAAATAATAAGTCAGGATCAGACACAAACGAAATCTGCTCGAAAAACAAAACTTTACTCAAGTCAGAGACAGCAACTAAATCAAGAAGACTAGGTCGTACATTGTTGCTAAACCTAGTAGGCATGGAGTTATTTTCAACACTTAAACCCGTCATAGTCATAAGGTCATTTAATTTAGCTGCTTTAGCAGAATTTAACAGGAAATCAATATTGAAATCGCCGAATACTGCAAGAAAATCAAACTTAACGGCAATAGGTAGAAGAGAATCAAAGAGAGGATCGCAGGAAAATATTTTGTTAGGGTTATAGGCACAAGTAACTAAAATTTTGTAGTTGCCAGCAAGTACACGCACGCTAATGTGTTCAATTTCAGTTTCCATTGAGACAGACACTAATTGACCTTTTAAATGTGACTTACAGAAAATAGCCACTCCGCCACCTAATCTATGTTTCCTGTCATGTCTAAATAAATCAAAACCGTTCAAGGAAAAAAAAACGCTGCTTATGTTATGATCAAACCAAGTCTCGGAAACACAAATGACATCAACTTTGGAGCCTTCAAAAACACTTCTAACATAATCTAATTTAAGGCCAGAGAGGCTTCTTGCATTAAAATGAACCATATTAACACCACACCGTTGACTCGAAAAAATATTGATAAGTGTTTTGTGATCCTGCATATTTAGTAGTTAATATTTTCAGCTTCCTGTCTAGTTCTGCGTTGTAAGATCTTACATATCACATTCCTAGAGTCGTGATCAGTGGAAAGATCATGGAGATTCAGCAACTTTTTAGCTTTAACACAATTAATGCATTTGACAATATCGCTTTTGCACTCCTTATGTGAATGCCCCACTTCACTGCATTTAGCACAAACATGGTCATTTTCTTTGCATACACTCGCCTTATGGTTAAAGCCCCAGCACTTATAGCACCTCATTACGTTTAAACTTTCATATATTATGCATCTATCCCATTTGATGTTGATTCGACGTTCTTTCATAAATTGCTTAAAAGCTTTGCCATCTATTTCAACAATCGCATTAAATGTTTTTTTATTTTCATAAGACTCATAGACTTTTAACACTTTAATATGTTGAACTATAATATTATTCTGATTTTTTATGGCAAGTACTAGGTCCTCATTTTCTAGCTTTTCACTAATACCCGAGATGAATAATTTGGGGTATCGAAGCGCAGGTGTTTCGATTATATATTGGTCACTTAATTTTTTTTTAATGTCATTTGCAAGAATTTCACGTTCCTTTGAAGTAACACATTTAATAGTAACCCTGCCATCATTTTTAGCTCGAAAACCATTAACCTTCACGTTAAGTTCAGACGGATTAATTTTCATTTTTAAGTCTTTTTTAGTGTCATCACCTAACTGTTTCCTTATAGGTTTCACTGTAATAGATACAGTAGATGTATTACTCGATTTAAGTTTTTCTGCATAAGATTCTTTCTTATCTTCACTTTTATTAAATTTTTTTAATAATTCAGAACACAATAATTCATTATCTTTTTTTAAATTATTCGACAAATTTAACATTTTTTCTTCAAGTGCCGTAAATTTATTTACGTATGCTTCTTGAACTTTCTTCAGAGCATTGATTCTATCAGAGTATTTAGCCTCGATAGATTTTAATAAACACTTAAGTTCATTTTCATTAACTTTCAATGCGTCTTTAAATTCGTTTTTATATTCTTTAAGATAATTATTATTTTTTCCCACATTTTCATTTATTTCCCTAAGTGCAAAATCAACATTGTGAACATATTGAACACAGTCTTCGCACATGAAATGAATCATAGGATTATTTAAGCAATTAATATTAAATTGCTCTACACCAGAACATTTGGTAGCTGTGTGATATGCCTTGCCGCACACACCTGAACATATTAACCCAGTTTCACCGCGGATACCTCCACGACACTTGTGACACTCTTTCATATTAACAGTATTAGACTATTTGAAATTACACAATTACACAATATGAAATTTTTAAAAAAATGTGTGACAGATTAATTGTTTTACAACACTATACGCACTTAAGAATTTAATGCTGTCTCTATCAGCTGTTTTACATGTGTGAAAAAAAACAACACACAGAATTAACCGCGTTTTTATATTGAACTTTAGAAATTAATCTGTTGTCCCTGTCAGCTGTTTGAGTATTTTTATAAAGTTTTGCAAAGAGAAAATCAACGAAAATTGAAATAACGCGCACTATTTTCAATTTAATGTTTTATGTAGTTACTTTTAAGTTTGTTTTATTATTAAATAATAATTGTGTTTTTGTGTCAATAGCAAAACAATTCCCAAAAAAAATACGTGTTATCTACTTGTTTTAAACTGCAATTTAAAATTCACCAAGACCGGCTTAAAAATACGTCCGTTCACTAGGACTAATAGGAATAAATATCTAAATAAGTTATTCTTTGAATTAACATTTATAGCTTTTTACTATATGTATGCTATATCTGCCAATCATTTTAGATTTGTTGAGACTCATTTGTCGAAGAATTTGTCGAAGTGGTCGAAAGGTTAAAGGCATCGGTTTAAGGCCACTCTAGATGGTGAGGTATGGTTGGTAAGGATAATTAAAAGTGGTGCTATACGTATAGATCCGTTTTCTGAAAGGAAGGAGGGAGTGTAACAACCAAAATTGTATCTATTAAAAATTTGATTGCTCCAACGTCGTGGGTATAGTCACATATCACTCAACAGGCATTACTCACTTGAATTGATTAACTCAAAGATTCCTGTATTAAAAAAAAATAAAATTTGTTAAGTAGTGATAAAAACATTAACAAACTAACTCACCGCAATCCATTGCCGGCAGTAACATAAATTTGCACGGAACAAACTAATTTTAAAATAAATTTTCACTATCACTTGAATAAACACGTTGACCAGCACAACATTTTATTGGAAAAAACAAATAAGATCAAAACAAGATGTTAATAACGAGACCTGTCAAACTAAGAAAGCTTTTGCTCAAAGGTGTGGAACGAAAGCAAAGCTCAGTCAAAAACAATTCCTAACTTCCACATGAATTGGAGATAGAATTCGCCGTAAAGCGGAATTTTAACTGGTGCATTGCAGTGGGATCAGCTAACGAGCTTTGATCAATGGTCGTTGAACTTTAACGTAGCTACAGCTGATACCGTTGACCGTTGACGATATAAAATTGCGTGCACCAGGAAGAAGGCTTCTTGTTCGGTTTCTACGCAGTGACATAGCTATAGTTTAACACTATCGATTTCGGTAGCGGAGGTGCAAGTAACTGACTACTGGATATTGGATAAATAAAATTTTATAAAGAGAATTTAATATTATATTATAGAACGTAAAATATCACTAATGAATTGTTTGAAATTAAATTTTAAAAAGATATTTTAATATTAGATTAAATAACGTAAAATATCACTAATAAATTGGTTAAAATTAAATTTTGCAAAGAGATTCTATATTTTTTTTGGAAAAAAAGCAAAACTGTGTTGTGCAAACGAAATAAGTAAACGCAAACTGTTAAAAGAAAAAATTACTTAAATAAGGTAAAATATAATTAAAAATTAAATTTTATAAAAAGATTTTAATATTATATTAAATAACGTAAAATATCACTAATAAATTGTTTAAAATTAAATTTTATAAAGAGATACTATTTTTTTGGAAAAAAACTAAAACTGTGATGTGCAAACGAAATAAGTAAACGCAAACTGTTAGAAGAAAATTACTCAAATAAGTAAACTATAACCAATGAATTGTTTAAAAAAATTAAATTTTGTAAGAGATATTTTTTGAAAAAGAAACAAAACTTTGTGATATGTAAACGATTAAAGTAAATTAAGTTTCATAGAAAGTTCTAAAATTGTGAATATAGAAGGAAACGTAAACTGTTAAAAGAAAATTACTCAAATAAGTAAACTATAACCAATGAATTGTTTAAAAAATTAAATTTTGTAAAGAGATATTTTTTTTTGAAAAAGAAACAAAACTTTGTGATATGTAAACGATTAAAGTAAATTAAGCTTCATAGAAAGTTCTAAATTATTGAATATAGAAGGAAACATAAACTGTTAAGAGAAAATCACTTAAATACAAGAACTAAGACAAAGTAAATTGTAAAACAAAAGAATTTAAATTTTAATAATATAGCACGTAAAATATCATGAATTGTGTTTGAGTTGTTTAAAACTAAATTTTATAAAGCGATATATTTTTTTTTGGAAAAATAATTTTTTTTTAAATAGCTAATGTCAATACTGAAAGAAAAATAATAAATATATATTTACAAATTGTATAAAATTAAATACATTGAGTATAATTTTGTTGATTGGAAATATTTTGTATGTAAAGGCGTTTGGCTATTAACTCCCAAGAATACAGGTGAATGTTCATAAGTGACGAGTGGTTAAAGGTAAATCTGTAGGTAGCTATCGCAAATAGGGTTGAAGGATTGAATTAAAGGTTGAAAAGAAGAGCGAGATTCAGGGCTTCAACAGTTACTGAACCTAGGCTGCACGTGGTGTAACACACGTAGCTGGAACAGTCACGTGTGTCTATACCATAGTGTCGGAAGCGATAGGTTGCTTTAACAGTAACCTAACGTCTCTGACCCCTGGACGCTTTAACAGTGTACACGGAAGGGCGTGTTGTCTACGACCTGTAATACATCACACGTAGCTTTAACAGTCAGGTGTGCTTGTATTATATCGTGTTTGCTTTCAATTCAGTCCTTCAGAATTCAGAGTTGCAACAAAACAAATTTCTTGTGAGGACCTTGGACAAGGCTGAGCTATCCCAGCTCTAAACGAACCGCCAGAAAAGGTTCATTACAAAATATTGCATTTTAATATTTGTATTCAGAAAATAATTTTTAAAATATAAAAACTTACCTAAAAATTGTTTTTAGCATAAAATAATTTTTAAAATATATGAACTTCTTTAATAATTGTTTGCTGCACTTTTTTTCAAATTTGCTTATTTTAAAGAAAATAAACGTCTACAACTTTTTCAATTATTTTACAATTTTTTTCCGCGATCATTGCTCGTCCGACGCTCACCAAAATTCTTAAATTCTTCAGATTCCGATATACACAAGGAGACACGTGTGCAGACTTAACAAATAATTGAAAAGTTTTAATTTTACCTAATACATGTCTCAGACCGAAATTTAGTATGCAAACTTGAATATACACGGTGCAATTTGGTAGCACGCATATCTTGTCTACAAACATATAGCATTGGATATATCCCACTTTAGTAAGAATGAAAACTTTTTAGGCAATGCTCTATTATAAAAACGCATTTACCATAATGGAATGGCCGTGCAAGCAATGATAAATGATGGCGAAGAATTTCGGAGATTTAAGCCAATTTAACGTGGCGTCAGGAAAATGGCAGACGTATATGGAACAAATGGAATTTTTCTTTTTGGCTAATGATATTATAAACGCAAAAAAGTAATAAACTGTCTAGTCTATGTTGTTATAATTCTAGGCGGTTACAATAGTTTGTAGGCAATGGCATCAAAATTCCGGCGACGTTATATTCTATGATACAAAAATTCTAGCCTATGGCATCAAAATGCCGTGCGGCGTTATAAACTATACTAATACAATGATTCTAGCCTATGGCATCAAAATGCCGTGCGGCGTTGTAACTACAATTATGTAATGATTCTAGTCTATGACCTAACTGCTTGCATTTCGTTGCAAAGTGACGTCTCTGCCGTGAGCTTGGCTGGTCTTGTGCTCAATGTGTGTGTGAGTGTTCGCTGCTATGTTGAAAAACTGGTTCATTCAACTCATGAATGAAAGGTGGTGATTTTTAATATTTATATTTTCTGTTTTAATAAAAATTAATTTTAAGAATATTAATTAATAATCAATAAAGGAAATATATAAATAGTAAATAAACTATGTAATTATTAATTAAATATATTTCTTTATTTATTGTAATTACATGTCCATAAGTTTATATATGGCAGAAATTTGTACAAAATTCCATCCTTACACAGTTAACATCAAAAATAGCGCAAAAGAAAGCTATTGCATCAGAAACAGCACAAAAAATGCGACGGAACTTAAAACATCAGCCAGCCTGCCAGGTTTGAATAAAATTTCAAACAACAAGGTAAAACATATTCGTGCTCTAATAGTCCATATGCGAAACTGTTATCGTTGTTAAGGAAATCATCAGTCAGATCAGTGCAAATTTAAAGACGCGGAATGTTATTATTGCAAATAGCGTGGACATATTGAGAGAGCTCACATAAAAAAAAGCGAAAAGCTGGCAACAAATAATTGGAGAAGGAAAGATACAGTCAACCCAAATGGTTAATCCGTTTGTGAACAAAATCAGGAACTAGCAGTAAAAATACCAGCGATACTACGTCCCAGAATACTTGACATGTTACATGAAGTTTATCAGGGCATGTCGGCAATGAAAGCAGTTGCGCGAAGCTATTTTTGGTGTCCAATTGATATAGAAATGTTAGCCAGACGTTGTGAAGAGTGTGCATGTAACAAAAAGAATCCTCCTATAGTAGCAAGTAAACCATGGCCAGCAACGCTAAGACCATGGTCACGGTTACATATTGATTATGGGGAACCCTTTTTGGGTATAAATTTTTTAAAAGTCTTAGATGCTCATAGCAAGTGAGTAGAGGTAAAAATAACCAGTATAATAAATACGATCAGGACTATCGAGTTAATGAGGGAAATTTTTGCAACACACGGAATACTAGACACCATTGTGTTTGATAATGAATTTTAGAAATATTTAAAACCTAACGGTATAAAGCACATACGTACGGCACCGTATCATCCATCATCAAACGGGCAAGCAGAAAGGTTTGTACAAACCATCAAGAATTACCTTAAGAAAATGCAGTCTTCAGACATCAATAAGAATTTGACAAACATACCTTTGCATCTGCTTATAACTCCTAATGCAAATTCAAATTCGAGTTCAGCGGAAATCTTGATGGGAAGGAAGTTGAAAACATAGTTAAATCATTTGCACGCCAGTGATGACAACACTCAGAAGCAGCTAAATTCTGATCAGTATTCTAAACAAACAAAACCAGTTCACAGGCCGGTTTGGTGCCGAAATTTCGAAAGAGGTGAAAAGTGGATGCCAGGGACTATACAATCAACAGGAGATCGGCACTACAAAATTCAATCAAATAGTAATATATTATCGAGACATATTGACCAGTTGCCTAAGCGAGTTTCGGTGACACCGAGAAGTTTGGAATCCAATATAACTCCATTGGCAGTAACTCCAGTGGCACAACCGGAAGAGCAAGGCATCCAACTAAGTGCAGGTCATTCATAAAATGAACACATCCTAACAGACCCTCAAGTAGATAGGTCATTAGAAGAAGAAGATAAAAGAGACCGTACCAACAAAGGCAACGGCCAAAAAGATTACGGGACTATTTGATGGGGGAGAACTGTAATATATTCAAGCATGGCAACACCGTATGAAGAGAGGCGAAAAAAGGAAAGATACGTGTGTTGTTGTTGTCGTCGTGTGATTTAAATAAGTTAGCGTGCCATGCTGCATAGATCATATTTATATTTATTATTGTTATTCAATTGTAAGATATAGTTAACGTTAAATCAATAAAGTATATAACAGAAAACTTTTAACCAAAAATAATAAATAAGTTCAAAATATAAATAAATAAATATTTTCATAAGTGCTAAGCAAAAAAAATCCCTAGGAAATTTCTATTTACTTTACTTCAATTTACTCGAACCCGCACATGGTCAAAATTAGTATTTATTTGCGATTGCTTAGAAAAGTGAATAAATAATTGCGTAACATACGCAATTGCAATCAAAACAACATTTTCCATAATTATTCGTAAATGTTAATTAAACCTATATAATTTAATAATAATTAAATTATATGTAATATATATTTACATTTAGCTACGAGTGTTTATATATCTGCCTAAATAAAAGCTTGTACAATAAGTAGTAAAAGAGTGTAAAAGTGGCATAATGTGGTGTAATCACACTTATTTAATACATGTGACAAAAATATTACAAAAAATGAATTTTCTTAAGCAATTTCTCTTAGTTTTGATAGAGGTAGGCGGAGTTTCCAGTCTATAAAAGATGTTTTCTGATATAAAATCTTCTTTTTTTATAACATTTTTGTCACACGTATTAAATAAGTGTGATTACACCACAATTATGCCACTTTTACGCTCTTTCATGCTCTTTCAGGGCTGCTGCATAACTTTTTTTCAACTACTTACTGTACAAGTTTTTATTTAAGCAGATATATAAATACTCATAAATGAATATAAGCATACATTACA